ATATATATTTATGCCTTGCAAATAATTACTGAATTGGGATGCATATCATTGAACACATTAAAAATAGTCATGCAATGAATGGAATCGGGACAGTCTCTATGCTTTAAATGGCAAATTCCAATTCCATATTTTTTTGTAAAGTGCAGTTGCAGGTATTTTGTATGGAGAGCTCCACTCCATTTAATGAAGGAGAGAATTTAAATTTCTGTATTAAATGTATAATTCTACTTGCATTGTTTCAAATATTGTTGGGTAGATTATACTATAGCTGTCTTCAAAAGTATTTGTTGTTAAGGAAAACAAAACAGTACAAAATTTTAAAAATACTGATCTTTTTACTTTGGAAAGTTATTATAATTGTCCGAGCTTTGTTCAGTTGCTAAAATACAGAAATTCAGTATGTGCATACATTTTTTAACAAATTAAGAAAAATTCAGACCATAGCTGTTTTCCTGTCAATGCTTACTAGGAAGTATATCTAGGAACAGGGATAGTTAAGGCATTATATAATATTGCTATAACTGAAGTTCCAATGATTTGGAATCCATACAAAAGTGTTCATCTCAATTAATACTGAAAATCTGGTTAGGTGACCATTTTGGCTTTCTCTCAAGCAAAGCCATTAAACATCCTACTTGAAGGATCAGTTCACTGTATTCTCTTGTGTGGCCCGGTTGCAACTTTGAAGATCTCTCCATGCCATGGATGGCTATATTTGTAAATGAACAGGCAGTCCTCTTGTCAGGATTGCTGCCAAAATTTATTTATTTATTTATTTATTGAATTTATATACCGCCCTATCTCCCTTACGGGACTCAGGGCGGTGAACAGGCGATAATAAAAACCATGATAAAGATAGGCAGTTCTAAAATCAAATTAAATAACGGGCCTGTTCTAAAAACACACCCATACAAAAACCCCCACTAAAACATAATCAAACTACGCCAGGCCGGCCGCACGGAATAGATGGGCCTTCAGGGCCATAGTTCTGCTTTCTTTAATATCTCAGAGGCAGTGACCTGTTGCCATCAAAGATATTTCAATACCTAATACTGATGTTAGAGAACCAGTTTGATGTACTACTGGTTAAGGCAGTGATGGCGAACCTTTTAGAGACCAAGTGCCCAAAAACTGGCCCCGCCCCCACTCCACCTCCCTGCCTGCCCCGCTCTGCCCCCCCATCCCCCGCCCCACCTGCCCACAGGACCACTCACCGCCTCAAGGGCCCGCCGCAGATCGCCCAGGCAGCCCAGCAGCGCTATGGTGGTCACACCTTCTGCCCGCGCCCTGCAGCATCAACTGCATGATGGGGTGTGAGGGCAGAGTCTTGTCTACGCTGCCTGGCTGCCATGTACTTGGCTACGTTGCTCTGTGTGGGCCACGCTCGAGGGCAACTCTCCTTCAGGGGGGCTGCTGGAGAGGAGGGAGTCACGGGGGGAGGCAAGGCTGGGGCAACAGAACGTGTGCCCACAGAGAGGGCTCCGAGTGCCACCTCTGGCACCCGTGCCATAGGTTCGCCACCACTGGGTTAAGGCTTCAGGCTAAAAACAGGAAGATGGTGAGCTGGAGAGTTCTTGTCTATTTCATACCTCATTTTAAAAGTGAATGCAAATAGCACATTATGTTGAATTTGTGCAAGTATATGTTTCTGCTTAAATCAAACGACAACAACAACCCCATTATCACATTTTGGTGACATTCTTTCTTTTTCATTCTCTTTAGGCTCTTTGGGGGCTTGGTTTTAGATATCAAGAGGAAAGTGCCATTCCTTTTGAGTGACTTCACTGATGCATTCAGCCTGCAGTGTCTAGCATCTTTTCTATTTCTCTATTGTGCTTGTATGTCTCCTGTTATCACATTTGGCGGCTTGCTGGGAGAAGCAACAGACGGTCGTATAGTATGTGTTGCAATTGGATTTGCAGTCTTACCATATCTATTTGTCCCTATCCCTATCCCAATAAATAAAATGTTCTGGGTTGCGTTTTCTAAGGATCGGTTCCCAAGTCACAGCTCTAACTTTTCAATTCTGCTTTTTTTTTTTTTTTAAATACACAGAGTGCAATAGAATCTTTGTTTGGTGCATCGATGACTGGAATAGCCTACTCATTGTTTGGTGGGCAACCTCTGACCATATTAGGTAGCACAGGACCAGTTTTGGTGTTTGAAAAGATATTATTCAAGTTTTGCAAGTAAGTACTCTGTGTTCCTCCTTTTCGAGTTTCATCATTTCTGCCTTTCCTTGAACGAGCCTCTTGGAAAAACTCAAAAAGTTGTGCTAAATCTTTTGATATCTTTAATCTCATTTCTAAAAGACTACTATTGGATTGGTATTAGCACTGGAGTAGAGCCATGTGCCTTGCCCATAGCTTGAGTGATTAGGGATGATGGGAACTATTTTTAAGTACCATCTAAAAAATTCCTGAGTGTCTTTGAGCTTCTATGAGTCACGGTGGTGCAGTAGTGAGAATGCAGTACTGCAGGCTACTTCTACTGACTGCCAGCTGCCTGCAGTTCGATCCTGACAGGCTCAAGGTTGACTCAGCCTTCCCTCCTTCCGAGGTCAGTAAAATGAGGACCCAGATTGTTGGGGACAGTATGCTGATTCTGTAAACCACTTAGAGAGGGTTGTAAAGCACTGTGAAGCAGCATATAAGTGCTATTGCTATCTACAAAATAGCATTAAGAGTGGTTAATTTAAGGCCAAAGTACTGCAGATCAGATAGACAAGGAAAAGAACAAGATGGCAGCATCCTTAAAATGTTATATTCCCTGGCCAATTTAGAGTGGCCCTAGAGTTATTTGCCTATCTTGATATTTTATGCCCAAATTCTTGATCATTTGGGATTGTGCCTAATTAAGCATTTGTTTTATTTTGTATATTTGGATATCATTTTTCTTTAAAATGGATTCCAAGTGCTTCTCCTGGGTGAGGTGAATGTGTGAAGTACAAGTCCTTGAATCATAACATAAAATAGCATTGTATTTATATATTTATTGATTCATGTACTTATTGCCCCTCCTATTATGAACAAGAGAATAAAATCCAGTAATACAATCCTGGACTCTTCAAGAGCAGAATGGAAGCCTTTTTATTTTTGAGATTTGCAAGCAAATCTAGGAATTTCCTTCAAGGCCATACCACAACTATAAGCCAGTAAAATCAGCCTTATTACTGAAATACGTTTTATGGTTTAGCATTGGCAAATGACAACAAGTAGTTGTAGCCTTTGCTATGCTTTCCAAAAAAGCTATTTTGAAGAATAATTGATTGTCTAGAGACCACATGGAATTCCTAAATATATGTCTTCTCATTTGACCACAGCAGTAATATTTTTTTAAATCTATTAATAGGGAATACGAACTGTCTTATCTTTCTTTGAGAGCGAGCATTGGTTTATGGACTGCAATCCTGTGTCTCATTCTCGTGGCGACGGATGCAAGTTCTTTGGTGTGCTACATAACTCGGTTTACGGAAGAAGCCTTTGCATCTCTTATCTGCATCATTTTCATTTATGAGGCCTTAGAAAAGCTCTACCATCTCAGAGAAACATATCCAATCAACATGCATAATAACTTGGAACTCCTTACACAATACTCGTAAGTAAGATTTTCTTCATTAATCATTACTGATGTTAATTGCCAAAGGGAGAGTTCCTACTATGAGACTTAGAAGGAGATGCCCAGTAGGAAGAGAAATTTGCTATGAACCTTGTCAAGATCACCAAGATCACATTGGTATCTGTTGTTTGTCAATATTTTAATTACATTTTAAATAAATGGGGTATAGAAGAAGGCTTCCTGTGATATGGACTCATTATCTCCCCTTCTGTTATTATCATACCTATTAATTTTGAAGTTGCATTATATACTGTTTCTGTACTGTTTCTCCAGTTCATATAAATAAAAAAATCATTACAAATTCAAAGAAGGGTAAACTGATGTTTTCCAAAAGAAAATTTATTTCATGAATGTAAGCTTTAAAGCAGTAACTAATAGATAGGATAGAGCTGGTTTTATTTTTTAAAAAAAAGAAATGTCTGTGTGCAGGCCAAAATTCTCCTTTTCAGATAAGAGCTACTACGCTGCCTCTTGATAGCCACAAACTGTCGGCAACTCAGATACTCTGCAACATAAGCCCTTCAGCAAAACCATTCTGAATCAACTAAAATGTTCAGCTAACCCTAAATTAATTTTACTTAGTTATCCTTGAATTAAATGAACATCTAACCAGCTCATTTGGTAGAACTAAATTTATGCTAGCTTAGTCTTTATCTTAGTCTTAATGCTAAAAATCTAGTTTGTAGTTAAACTATGTTGCGTCCTTTGCATGGGTTTTCTCTGAAAATAATCTGGACACTGCAGTTAGTGTAGAAAGTTGTGAAGTACTGCCTGAATAACTTTTAGATACCTATATAGGATCTGTCCTGGCTGCCTATATGTATGCTACTGGTTGGATTTTTAAGATTTTAGTAATAACATTTCAGAGGCCCTTGATACTTGAAAGAGGGCCTTCCCCAATACATACGTTAAGATATTTAGGATAGGGTGCCCTCAGCACCCTCGCTAGAAAAAGGGGCATTGTGAAGAGAATGCACTAGGGGGCCTTCTTTGTCATGGTTTCTATCAGCCTGACTAGGTAGACCAGGCTAAGAAACGAACTCCTTAGAAAGGCTAAAGATACTATTATTGGCTGTAATAATATGACCTTTTAAGTCTAATTACAGTATGCTGTATCTCAGACATGTCAAACTCGCGACGTCACGTGACGTTGCATGATGTATCGGAGCTTTTCCCCTATTGCCGGCAATGGGGTGGGCGCGGTTTCCTCGTGACGCATCCGGCCTGCGGGCCAGCAGTTTGACACCCCTGCTGTATCGCCTTCCCTTTCTTATACACTTGTGAATTAATGAGGTGTCTTTTGAACCATTTGTGAAAGCTATTTTGTGGGCTTAATATTTGATTTTCCCCTTATCATCTTGGTTAACAGAGCTCACCTATTTCTATCAAGGTCATCTTCCTCTCTACAGCTTTGGAATACTTGTTTCCTCAGCTATAACACTGCTTGGGCTTTGGTGCCAAGGAAAGGCTGGCTGTTTAGTTTTATGCTAGAATTTCACAGCTGCAGCCCATCATTGTATCTTATTGTATTGTATCTTATAAATGTTGGTGTCATATCAAGGTGTAATTGTAATTATCTGTGGTGGGAAAGGTCGCGTGTGCTACCATTTAAAATAACTTGCATTCAGATGCAACTGGTAGAGAATGAAAATGTTCTTACGGTCAGAATCCCATTGAATTGGGTTGAAGGAATGAAGGAATGAAGGGATGAAAGGAGCTGAGCCATAAAACATAGCAGAGGCAGAAAATTACTGAACTACAACTCCCATAGTTCCTTCACATTGACTATGCTGGATAAACTTGATAGGAGCTGAAATTCAAAGCATCTAGTAAGTAGAGGCTAGATCGCCTATTCCAGGGGTAGGCAACCTTGGCTCTTTTATGACTCGTGGACTTCAACTCCCAGAATTCCTGAGCCAGCATGGATTTGAAGTCCACGAGTCATAAAAGAGCCAAGGTTGCCTATCCCTGACCTATTCCACTTTCGTGAAAGAGAAGATGCAGAAGTGGACAATGACAATGGGATTAGTGAGGAAGCATCAAGATGATGGACGGGATCCAGTGGTTAATTTGCTAATATGCTTATCCACAATTTTGTAGTGAAGTTTGCCTCAGTGTTCTGAAAGCTGTGCAATCCTTTGTTTTTCATATACTATAGGTTCTTAGAAATTCTTTCTAGAATAGTTAATTATATGGTCAGATATTTCTAAGGAAATCAACATAGGTATTTTCGGGGCAATTGTAAATGATGTATGAGTCTGCTTATGAGTTGGCACAGTAATAAATTCTGAAAGATCTCTTCAGTTTTAAATCTATATCAGTCTCTTACTTGTCAGGGATAACAAATGAAATTCTCTGGTGGTTGTTTTTTTTTTTTTTTGCTAGCCAATATCACTAGTAAAGTAAATATGCACACCTGCTCATTTTGTCTTATTCCACTTCTTTAGCTCCATACATATTTAAAAGCTCTCTCACATTCCAAATAACCTCCAACTTCCCCAAACCTACTATATATGGACTTTGTAATTGGCCAAAATATCACTTTATTGATGGGTAGCTGATGAATAAAAAGGCATCATGTATTTTCCAAAGCTGAATATCTAACCATATAGTTGCAATTTTCTGAGTACTTATTAAAAGTCAATCCAATGAATATCAATAATTTTCATTTCTCAGTGGACATGTATAGAAAATAGGTATATTTATAAAGAGGTTCTTGTGGGAAAATGAATTAAAGGGTATATATGGAGTTTATATCCCTCTGTAATAGTCCTTTGGCTTGTGTGAATAGTTGTGTAAAATCTGTCCTTAGTACAAGAATGTCTTGTGTTTGTCTGTGTGTATCTGTGTCTGTGTCTGTGTGTATTTCTGTGTGATACTTTATTACTGAGTATAAAAATAGGCCATCCTTGAATGTTGAATGATACCTTTGCATTTACCTCATAATGGATATCACTATAGATACTTATCTACAAATAAATCTATAAGTGAAATTTATATGCTACATTTCCCTTTTCTTATTAAAGTGTTTTTAGACTGCAGTGTTATAACCGCCTACCACAGGGGCAGGTGGCATTTTAGTAATCACACACACATTTTCTTTTTAGGGTCCAATGGCCACAGCAGTAAAGTTGGCAGGGTTGTGGGCTTCCTTCTGGCAACTGAAGTTTTGTCATTCACAATTTCATGATCCCATAGTTTTATACTGGAATGGAATCCTCAAGAACAACAATGGTTGCTTGTATTTGCATTGAACTGTTGGTTATCCACGTTTGCTGAGAAGCCCCACCCCTTTTTTTGCTGTGTGTTCTGTAAGTGCTGATAGGGTCTGTCTAAGTGGGGAAAAAATGAAGGAAAACTTTCAAAATAAAATGTGAATATTTATCTCTTTTTGTAAAAAAAAAAAAAGGATAGCTTTTTGAAATTATTTTTAAATGCTGCCAATTTTTTAATTATGTGTTATTCCTGTGAGGTAGTCCAGAAAAGAAGCACAACCAAGAGTACAAGCTCTATTTTTCATTGTAAGGTCACATTAACAGAATCTTGCAAGACTGAATGCATTTCTCCTCTTTCCTTTTACTAGCGTGGGGCCATTCTGAAATATTTTCCATGCCATCCCCACTTCTATGTGTTAAGGCATCTTTGTGTGCCAGTTGTCTGGTCTGTAGCACTTCTTCCTATCTCCCAAGGTCATCCCCATATGCCATTACTTCAGTTTTCTCTAGATAATATTAAAAAATTGATTCACTAATTTCATTTTTACTTTGGCAGTTCTATTCTGTACTTCAAAAGGGATGAATTGATGTTTTCTAACAAAAAAGAAAAACTAATTCTTTACCAGACGTCCCTTGATTATTAACAGATTATACTGAATAATTTCAAAGAGCTTTGGCATGGCGGTATGCATATGACAATCTGTCCATGGCATACATTTAAGAATTGGGAGCATAATATCCCACTGTGAAAGTTGTTTAAGGTGCCAAGTTCATGTCATTCTGATGAATAACTAAGCTAGGTTCTTTTAGTTAAAGGATGCTGCTATTACTTATCTGTTTGTTTGTTTGTTTGTTTTATTATGGGGTTAAGTCATATTTAAAAACCTGTAAACCTCAACTATCTCTGAATACTAAGTATGAATGAGGGGATTTAGCAAAGGTTCTTGTGAGTTGGCCTCACAGCATCAGCTCTCTAAATGTAGACTCCAGTTCAGCTTCTCAGGCACTAGTTACTGAGTCTGAAAGAGACTTCTACTCACATTTGACTAAATGCCTTTGAAACATTAGTGAAAAGGGGACCTGAATATGTTCTTATACCAGATGGGGAAATTTGATCAATGGTGCTTGATGGGAGAGAGGATTCAGATAAGCACACAACTATTTCTATATGTAGCCACTTCCCTAATGAAGCCAAATGCACCGTCTCTCATGAACATGGTCAGCAGGCACACTGATGTGGAAGGAATCTGGACTACATCTATCATGCTTCTGCTAACCCAGTGGTTCTCAACCTTTTTAATGCCGTGACCCCCAACCGGTCGTAAGTCGAGGACTAAACCGGTCGTAAGTTGAGGACTAAACCGGTCGTAAGTCGAGGACTAAACCAGTCGTAAGTCGAGGACTACCCAACCGGTTGTAAGCTGAGAACTTTCCCTGCCCGGGAGCGCCATGCATGCGTGGTTCCGCCCCCTGCGCTGGCCGAGGCGTAGCTGGCAAGCAGCAGAGACGGAGCAGGCCGACCACCAGCTGGCCCAGCCCAAGGGAGGTAAGGCACCCGCCGGAAAAGGGAAAAAAAATGGCGGACAGCCTTGCTTGCCGACCCCAGTGAAATGGTCGATTGACCCCAAATGGGGTCGTGACCCATAGGTTGAGAACTGCTGCGCTAACCCCTCATACACTCACTGGACATCCTTATACTTTGCAGTCATTAAGGGACATGAAGCATTGCTTAACGATTGTATTAAAATAAAATATGCCTACACTCAATCTTAACCTGAAAGCTATGTGCCTTTACTATGGGATGTTAACTGGTGTCAAATGACAACTAAGAGAATGTTTTCCTTCCTTCCTTCCTTCCTTCCTTCCTTCCTTCCTTCCTTCCTTCCTTCCTTCCTTCCTTCCTTCCTTCTTCATGGTAGTTCCTTTTCAAGCCTACGTGTAAACGTTGATGTAGACAATGTTTCCTTCAAGTGTCTGCTGTAAAACGGATAAAAGCTAATTTATTCTAAGAGAACGAGACAGAGGCCAACTGTAAGCATTTTCCCTGGATAGCAGCAATGTGGTACTGAAATCTTATGGACAGCAGCACATATTTAAACTTTTTACTCTAAATAAAACAATAGAAAAACAACAAAAACAGTCTGAGTTAGAAGAACACCGTACATCATGCACATACATATACAAACATATAAACAGATGCACACCCATATGCTAACACATGTACACATATAGTTAAGCACCTGCCCATGTACACTAATAGAGAATTCAGTTTCTAAGTGCTGGTGCTTTTGTCAGAAAATGTGTATGTTCACATATGCAAGTGCACATATGCACAGACATTCTTTGTGTATGGGGGGGGGGGGAGAATTGAGAACAGCACAGGTATTCCTGAGGTTGCTCAGTCGGTGTGGAATGCTGGTGGTTGGGAGAGGAGGGGATAGAATGGAGTCTTTGATACGCTCTGAACTTGATTGGTTGCTTGGAGACTGATGATGTTACCTAGTCTGGTAAGGAAACGTCTGCAAGCAGTCAACCAAGGACTCCACAATTCCAGCATGAGCTACAGATACTTTCTTCTGTTTGGAACAGAGTATTTGGAAAGCCTGAACAGGTGGGCACCTCTCTTAATCAATTGCCCATATTTCTAATTTCAACTGCCCAAGACAACAAAAATACTTTCTAGATCTGAAGATAACATTTGTATGTGTGCATATCTATGTATGTGTGTGTGTGTATTTGGGATAGAAAAGCTTACTGTCTGCTTTAGATGGTTGCTTTCCGAGAAGCATTTGTCTCTTCATTTTTTTGGGGGGGGGGGGGAGACAATGTACTATATAGAATAATCTTCCTCCTTGGATCCACAGTTGCTTTGGAGTTGCTTTTTAAACACTTGGATAACCTACATGGCATCTTCTGTAGTTCTTTCATTTAGCTTCATAATTCATTTTTGACATGTGACTTTAACAGCAGCTGGGAAATAGGAAAAGTATATTGCAGTATGACAAGGTAGAATATGCGTGCATGTCCACACATTTTGATAAAACTGGTCCAAATCTCTTTTTCAATACTATTTGTTTCCCATAGCAGGGGGAGAATTATTTTTATTTTCCACAGTGTAGTTGCATAACATTCCAAATTAAATGGCAAAAGTAAAATCTCTGTTTTGTTCCTGAAACATGATAAAAACTTCGACGGAGCTTTAAGTTGCAAATAGAATTACCCCACTGTATGGTCTTTTTTCCCCCCAGCCCAATCCCTTATTTTATAATCCCTTTTTCCTGTTTATCCCTAATCTTTTCATTTAGTTTTGCCACAAATCCCCGAATGACAATCATGAAAATTGATATTAGCAACCCCATCAAGCTTAGTAGCAGAGGCTTTTTATGCCCAGGTTCAATCCCCAATTGGTATTAAAAAATAAAATAAAGATTAATATTCTGATAGAAAGATTTCTCTGCTTGAGATAATCTGCTGAAAGCCAGAAGAAACAGCATAGGGCTGGATTAATGTTCTCTTTTATCTAAAATGAATTATGGCTTAACACAAGAGGATCCAAGTTTTAGGGCTGGTGAGCAACTTGTAATGTTGACATACAACCGTTTTTCACACTTACGACCGTTTCCTTTGGAAACAGCCCTAATTTGCAATAGAATCCATCGCTGGGCCAGCATTCAGATCTTGCTGCCGGCAGAACAATTTCAAACAGCACCAACGACTTTTAACGGTCTCACCAACAGTTCCGAAACAGCTAGAAACTCGCCATGCCAGCAAAAATTGTCGGTTGTATGTTACCTTAGTTTCACCACATTGCTCAAACACATTAAAACCTTTCCGATCATGGGGCCCATATCCCTTAATATCCCTCCTAAAACTTTTCACCTTCGAGAGCCAACGCAGCCACAGCCGATCCAGGTGCCAGCATCTTAGAACTTATGTCTTATTGTTATGAGTTTATGTTTGTACTAATTGGAGTCTTACCAGCTGATTCATAAATCTGTAAATAGATCTTTCAAAGCTTCCAGGCTTCTGTAACATAAAGAAGCCCTACTGAAGCAGAATAAATTATTACCAAATCCAACAACCAATTAATTTTACCATGGGAAATTTATAAAAAAGGTATAAGAACAGAATATTTTTCAGCTATTATTCCTTTGCATCCTTTTCTTGAGAACAATTCAAACTGAATAATTGTAATGTAATTATTGTAATGATATAAAAGATTTCAACCATACTAAGCTAGGAATTCCAATTCTCAATGCAGAGAACTGTTAGTGACTGAAGAAAGCATATGTATTTGTGCACTTTTTAAAATGTGTGAATGAGGACTGTACAAAAATTATTCACAACAGAGTTATATATTCTCTCCTGTTTTTTGGAGAACCTTTTCAATGCTGCAGTCCTCCTCAATTTAGACTGTATTGAAGTTTATTTTTGAACAGAATAAAATTTTGTTCTTTTGAGAACCTAGTAGAAACAAAAGTTTTGGAGATTCATCATCTCCCTTCAAAGTGGAACAATGACTGAAAATTGAATTGAATTGAATACTTTATTTGGCCAAGTGTGATTAGGCACACAAGAAATTTGTCTCTGGTGTAGAAGCTCTCAGTGTACATGCAAAGCAACAGAATAATGATAATCATCATCATAATAATACCAATAAAGGGGGGAGTAAGAAAGATAATAAGAAGGATAAATAAAGGATAAATAATAAAAAAAATGGGCTGAGGCAGAGATTTCATCTTATAGAGAGCTTTTACAAATGAATCACTATGTCACTTTGGAATATACTGTCATGGTTCCGATAGATGAAACCCATCAAAAGAACTCTGAGGCAAAATTCTTCCTTAAAGAACATTTATTCAGGAAACAAAGTATCGGGACTACATAGTTGAATCCAAAAACTAAATTCCCTTCCCCCGATACAAAGTAACAAAGTAACAAAGTATAATTCCCACCCCCAATAAACTGTCATAAAACACATTCCCCAATTAGCTTCAAGCACGGGCTTTCTCCTCAGCTCCTCAGCCTACCAAAACGTTATAAGCTCGTCCTTGAGTTCCCACGGCAGTGTTATTATTATGGTTTACTGAGCTTACATCCCAACCACCACCACCCTGCTGCACCTGAATTCTAAAAGTAAAGAAAAGCATGTTAAAGGAGAAGAGAAAATGGCTGCATTTTCATCAGTTGTCAGAGCAAGAACATCCAGTGTTAGCAGCGTTGACATATACTATGAAAACAAGCACCCTATGTAACATTTAAGAGAAGAGGGGGAGAGTCAATACAGGAGCAATTCAATCCCATTGCTGCATTGCTGGACTGGAAAATTATGTCTGGTATCATTAAGGGCTGTTTAATCAACTTTAATTTATATGTGATTGCCCCAGACAATTTAGAAAGTAATGGTGAATTAAATTATTCATTTCTAATTGAGATAACATCAGCCATCGATTTGTTTTTCAGATGCAGCTGTGTAGAACCAGATAACCCAAGCAATACTACCTTACAATATTGGCAGTCAAAAAACGTGTCCTCATCTGCAATACCTTGGGCAAATCTTACTGTGACTGTAAGTGCGCCACCAAATCATATCGTGAATGCATTCAAGGTGTACATATAGAACCCATCTGGGTCGCATACAAAGGCTAATGGCAGGATGTTCTCCCCAGACTGCAAACTACTTGTTCGTTCGTTCGTTCGTTCATTCATTCATTCATTCATTCATTCATTCATTCATTCATTCATTTAATCTCTCTCTCTCTCTCTCTCTCTCTCTCTCTCTCTCTCTCTCTCTCTCTCTCTCTCTCTCTCTCTCTCTCTCTCTCTCTCCCCTTGCTATTCAACTGAGTATTCAAGACGATTGGCAAAAAATAAAACATAAAAGGCATAAAAAGTCTCAAAATACGAATTGCAATTTACGCTAAAATCAATTAACAAATCAAACCCTGGAAAAGAAGATGTGTGTCTTGACTATTTTTTAAAAAGTGTTCACTATGAAGGGAAGGAGGAGAAGGCCCCTTCACTTTGCACCAGATATGCAAGCAGTTCTGAAGACAGATAATAGTGATCTATTCTAGGAAATGAGGCTTTGTGTATTTCATTGGACTCCCTGAAAAAGCAGATTCTGATCTCAAAAGAGAATTTACTTCCATCTAATTTTTAAACTGGGGGGGGGGGAGGGCCTTTTGACATTTGCCCTTGGCTCCTCATTTCATTCTGTTTAGAAAAATCCCTTGCCATCCATATAGCATTTTCAGTAGGCCATAAGGCAGTAGGGTAGTCACAAACACAAACTCTTTTTTACCAGCATGATGAATGCAAATCAATATGATGTTTTTTTATTATGGTTGATAACCAGGAAACCTGATAAGACAGATAGCACAAGAATAAAAACAAAAGCAAGCAGGAAGGGAAGAAAGTAGAAGATAAACTGACCCTGCTTTCTGTTTAGTAGCCCCTATTTTTTGGACTAATCTTCCCAAGCATTTGTGGAGGCCCCACCTTGTTGCAATTCTCTAAACGTTAAAGCGGTTCCATTCCACCAGATTTTGGGTCCCAGATGACTGACCGTGGGACCTATTCTGAGTTTCATCTAGGCTTTTCATTTGCAGTTAATTTTTGTTTTTGGATATAGCTTTTGTAATGCTTATTATGTTTTCTTTTTGAAATAAATAAACAAAGAGAAGTCAGACAAAATAGATGGTGCTTGTTATTCTGGCTAGACAGTAAATAGTAAGAATAGCATTAATCTGAGTGGCCTGAGAATCTTACTAAGAGGAGAGTTGTAAAATGTATGCAAATATCCTTAGAAAAGCAAAAAATGAAATGAAAGGAGCCCCAGCATAAGTAGTATCACTCCACAGGGATAAAAACAGGCTATGTACAGAATTTTCTTAAATATTCTTTTCAATACATCTCTTATGATGAATTATGATCTATAGCTAAATAGCTAAAATTGATTTAAGGATCATTCTAACTTCTGAATGATTTGGATTCCTAAAAATATATGTCTTGAAAGACAAGACTAGTCTGACTGTCTTCTGATGTGCATAATTCTCTGATTTAATCCTAACTTTTTTTTTTGCAAAAAACTTCACTTTCCAAATGTTCTCTCCTCCACTCCCTTCCCTGTTTAAGAGGGGAAAACCTAGTCTAGGCCGGAGGTCTCCAACCTTTCTCAATTGGCGGACCGGAGGGAAAGGGGGGGAAGCATTTTAGGTACGCGCGTGCGCGCACGCACAACCGGGGCCACAAGCACACGTGATGCAAATGGGGTGATGCTAGCACCTACGTGACACTCGCTAGCACTGCCCCATTTTTGCCGTGCGACGCCCTGTTTTTGCTGCGTGGTGCCCGTTTTCAGCACATGGCACCCCATTTTCGCCGCACAGCGCCCCATTTCCATACCGGCAGTGGCACTACCGTGAGTGGGGATGAGCATGCGCGCACACATGTAAACACTGGCCAGCCTATTCTGCAGCCCTCTGGCCAGGAGGCCACAGCCCAGTAGTGGGCCACAGCCCACTGTCTAGGCCAGGGGTAGACAACTTTGGCTCTTTTATGACTCGTGGACTTCAACTCCCAGAATTCTTGAGCCAGCCATGCTGAGGGGAAAGGGAGAGGTTTCCAAGCTGAGCCATGCTGGCTCAGGAATTCTGGGAGTTGAAGTCCACGAGTCATAAAAGAGCCAAGGTTGCCTACCCCTGGTCTAGGCAATTTCCCATTAATCTGTCAGTTCAGCCACAGGAAAGAGTGCAATCACATAGACTAGAGTGCAGATTGCTGGCAGGTCTCATTTAAATGGTCTTTTAAAACATTTACAGTGAACCACTGAGCATGCTATGTGTTGCAGGGCTTGATGTGGAAATCTGATTCTGGATATGTTTGTACAGGTAGTCCTGAGTTATAACAATTCATTTAGTGACCATTCAAAGTTACAATGGTACTGAAAAAAAAGGACTTAGGATTGTTTTTCACAGTTAACGAATTTTGCAGCATCCCCATGGTTAGGTGTTCAAAATTCAGACTCCTGGCAACTGGTTCATATTTATGACTGCTGCTATGTCCCAAGATCATGTGATCCCCTTTTGTGATCTTCTGACAAGCAAAGTCAATGGGAAAGCCAGATTCGCTTAACAACTGGATTACTATCAGCTCCAGTGGGAAAGCAAGATTCATTTCACAACTGTGGCAAGTAAGGTCATAAAATGGAGGGAAACTCACTTTACAACAGAAATTTTGGGCTCAATTGTGGTCATACATTGAAGACTACCTGTCAAAATGTTTCTGCACATAGAAGGAGAGGAAATGCACCATGAAAAGCTTGGGAATGTGTACCTTTTTGAGTGAGCATTCCAATATTTCAGCAGACAAGTTTGATCATCATGTGGTTGTGTGGAGTCTATCGCCCTCTTGTGGCAACAGAAAGACCTATCTAGTAAAAACTACCAGAAATTATTTAAATGTTTATATAGTAATCTGATGTTTTCCATCACAGAAGTTGTCTTTACAAGCCAGTTACTTGACACTGATCCAGTTTTGAGATTTTTAAATGTGCACTTTATCCAACTTTTCCTGCCTTAAGTTAGTTATTAAAACTTAGATAATTTCTTCTAAGACCTGCCTTAGCAAAACAAAATGAACAAAAACATTGCTACCAAAAATGTAAAATAATGATTGCTAACAAACTGAAGGTTCCAGTAACATTCCTCATGCGACTACAGTCACTGGCTGGTATGAAATGTGATATCAACCAGGTCTGAACCTCTCTTTGTTCTGGGAGTTGAAGTCCACAAGTCACAAAGGGGCTATAGTCCCCCACATCAGCATACCTCAGTTAGCAAACAGAAACAATGCCTTTGCTTTCTCTGCCAGGAATGTAATAACTGGAAAGGGATGTTCATTGGAGAAGCCTGTCTCGATCATGGGCCTTATGTTCCAGATGTCCTCTTCTGGTCAGTCATCTTATTCTTTTCTACAGTCATACTGTCATCCACACTGAAACAGTTCAAGACTAGTCGGTATTTCCCAACCAAGGTAATTTAATTTTTTGTAATCAAATCACGAAAGAAATATTGCAAGCACACGATGCCGGATACAGATACCTCTAACTCAATTGTGATTAGGATCATCTTGGTTCCACAGGGCAGGGCAGGATTTTAAAAAAGTTTAATACCGTTGGGGCATTGACATCTGAGAATAGCAATCGGGAGGAGAGAAAGTATGTTTTAACCTTTCTTTTTTCCCTCACGCTGGGCAGGGATTAACTTCCGGCAAAATAAATAAATCAAATGCAGGAATTTTAAAATTTAAATGTACACATAGCAATGTCCCACAGTCATGCGAATCCCCCAGCTTTACTGTTATTGATCCAATGCTGTGGTCATTAGACAAATCAGTTGTTCGCTATGAGCAGGTTTTGCTGCAACGAAAAGTAAATGTCGGTTTT